TTTATAATACTTCCTGAAAGTTCTGTTAAAGCATTGATTTAGACAGATTCCAAAATTCTGTTATTCACCTCTTTCTTTTTACATTTACTGGAAGTTGAGTGACACCCACAAGCCCTCTAGTCTTGACGTAATGATTATGACTCTACTGTGACCACAAGTCCAATTAAGGGGTTTCCCTCAGTTAGACAGCAGTGAGCCTCTTGTGGATCGTCCTTTGTACATGTATAGTTTGTGAAATAAAACAGTGTGTTGCAATATTACAATTCTACTTTTAGATGTTTCTGGTACCTTTTATGATATTTTTTTATGTCTTGACAAAGTAAATACTTAGCTGTTCCTTAAATTTTCCTATTTGGCCTCCTTGTGCCAAGCCAGTTATGACCTTGGAAGTACTTGGTTCTGTTTAAAAATGACTCATGTTGTGTAAGCTAGTAGTGTAATTGTAGTGCCACCTCATTACATTCTTTTATGATCTCTTAGCCAGCCAATTTGTGAGACTAGCTAAGGTTTACATTTGCTTTTCACCACCTGTAAGAAGTCTTAAGTTTTGAAAGGACTTGGATCTTCAGAATGGTGTTGAACCTTGTAGCAACAGTCTCCAGTGGAGGATGTACATGTAATGCCAGTTAAACGTCAGTCTTCCTGGAGCCTCCCAGTGGGCTTCATAGTAGTGAGATGGCTACAGTGTACAGTCATAGTGCACAGTGCTTCTCAGTGCTGACACTGATTAAAGCAACTTCTGGGTTATGAGCCATCCATTTTGAATATTAACATTTAATTTAAAAATTCCATTAGATTCCTGAGTGGCTCAGCATCCCAACAGAGGGTATTGTCTTAAGTGCATGTGTACAGCTCTGATTTCCCCTTTGGCCTTGGAAGGGTTGTTGACGATGAGGTCATCGTAGTGGTGGCTCCAAATTTGGAAGGAAGAAATATTAACTGCAAGGCTTGAGTTCAAAATAAAAACAAATTTACTGTTTACTCATTGATCTGATTGTGAGGTTATCACAAAGTGCAGTTGAGATGAAAGTTCATGGCCCTTGACACATGAATATGGCGTTAATTAATATAAACCACAGTTGTGCTCACAAATATTTTATTCTTTGCAGTTGTTACATTTTGTGTTTAGTCATCGTAAAATTCCTGCAGGACTTGAAATGGTGTTATGATATCCTGTTTTGGTGCTGTGTTCAAGCTGGGAGGCCATCAGCTTACAGAGTCTTTGGTGTCGTCCTTCTGCTGTCACCTATGTCATTAACATTCTTTATTAGCGATTCTCTATTGGAAACTGATGTCTTTGTTAAAAGGGCACAAAGGGCTGTAGAGCAATTATAAGCGCTGCAGCTTAAGGCCACCACGGAGGGGAGAGAACATTCAAGAGCCCTATAAGAGGCTAAACAGCCTTTCCAATGTGCCCTCTACCATTTCCTTGATGGCATTTGGATTCTGTCCTCAGGATAGATTTATCTTGAGCCAGTAAATATGAATCGCACCCTCTTTAGGGTGCTTAGACTTCTACAGACTTTATAGATCTCACTGCCTTCTCATCCTGTCTCAAAACCTGGTTGTTCAGGTTTTACCTTTAGATTGTGATGTTCACCCCCACTGTTGTCTATAATTTCTGTAAATAGTCTTGATTGTTTGTCATTTATTGTTCAGGATTAGATCCAGTGTTTGCTAGTTTCCTTTTGGGGGGTGGCAATAGTGAGTGCAGTGAGGCTAATTCAATAGGCCAGAGCCCAGTGATTGCCGGAGGCCCTGGTAGCTGTGTGTTTGTACAAGTGCTAGTCATTTCCAAGCAATGATAAGATTTATAGCTGCCAGTTACACAAAAAGCAATGGAAAAAGTACTAGACAGGTCACCTGGCAGGAACCATCCTTCAAGAAAGTTCATTCAGTGAATGTTAAGTTGTATCCAACAGTTGTCGAATTGCTCTGCAGTGACACAGCATCTGAAATCTAAAATGACTAGGGTGGTAGGCAAATGAGATTTAATGTTGACAAACAAAATACTGCTTGCAGGGAGCAGGGGAATGTTCTAAATATCCAAAGGCTGGCACTGAACCTGAAAAAGTCATTTTTTTAATGGTTCAACTTGATCTTCATCTTGACAGTGTGGGAGGGGGATTAAAAGATAAGTGCTTGGATCTAAAGTGAACACTGGCTTTGAAATGAATGATAAATTATTCAATACAAAGTATCCACTAATTATATTTAGAACACTAACTTTGGTCCCCACATGGCAGATGTCAAGATAAGCAGGTTAGTCTTGAACAGAGGTGATGGAGGGGATTTGCATTCAAAGTCCTGATCATGATCTTATCAATGGATAATAGTCTCCTTAAATGTTTCAGGTGTAGTGACTGTGTTGACCTTTTTCTGTGTGTTGTGAAAACAGCTCTAAATTAGCTACTGGAAAGAGTGACGTTTTTGGACACATCTAATGTCATATGCATGTGCTGTAAAATAATAGAGAAATTGTTAATTTTTGTAAGCCACCCCACCTCCACCTTCTAAAAATGCCAGTTCCGCGTGTCAATTATAAAAGGGTTAATTCCAGTTTATCTCTCCCTTATTACTCTTTGGACATTCACATTTTTGCAATGATCATGCAAACACTGGAATGACATAGCAGACCAGAATTTTATTATTTGTGAAACGGTCTAACCCTGGGTATCACTCTGCAGGTCTGCATGGACATTTCTGTCCACATGCCAACACATCTCTCATGTTTTGTGATGTGTAACTTATCTGTCAGATTGATGGGAAAGCCAAATAACAATATCCTCTGCTTTCCACTCTCCCGTGGCAAAATATCAGTTTATTCATGAGAATAAAGGTGAACTGCAGAGTTTTCAGCACCAAGCAACTGACTAATGACTGTGTGCTGTGACAGTGTGCAAGACTCAATTCTACATTTTGTGCTCGTTGGTTTAGAAAAACAGCTGAATATCACACTGTTTTTTTAATATGATAAGATCCATAAATGGAAAGAAGCTACTTTGCTGTTCAAAATGAAGATAAAGTGCATTGATCATTTAAAGTAAACTGAGGCTACAGAAAACGCCAAAACGGTCAATTTGAAATTGAGATCATGAGTTCAATTAGAATGTGAAGTACAATATACATTTTATTTTTGGCATGTTGCAGACATAAATTTGGGCATATTAAATAATTCGTGTTTAATCTAGGGTTGTTAGTGGTGGTAGACATTTACCTTTTAAGTTAAAGGTATAAAGGTATTTGCCTCCATGTCCCTTTGAGGCAATAATTGCATCTTATTGGGAAGTCTTCATAGTAAAGACAGGAAAGCCCAACAATTGGGGAAGAGATAATGTTAGTGTGTTTGGGGGGGGGGGCTTGCAAGGAAATTAAATATCCCTTCCAGATAATATTTCATAGCAGGAAAGGAAAAATGGCTGTTAAGGAACAGCTGATCGCAACACTACAAGAAAGACATTACAGATCTTTTAAATTCTCACATTCATCTGGTGCAGATTCAATAGATTCAATACATGAGGATTTCCCTGTAGATCTGCCCATGCAACAGCAAAGTCTGTTTTGGTCATTTAGGTAATTTCATATCATGATAATACAATGATAATAATCAATCGAAATGCAAGGTATTGGCACTGACAAGGATTGAGCTCTGAGTGTTTAAGGCTGTGTGGCTCCTTTAGCCACAAGGAGCCACACTCATATTCACAGTAGATACTAGCTATAAAAATATGCCTGCTAATGTATTTGGAGGAATGCACAAGAACTGTCAGCATCTTGAGTTTTTGTAGCTCTAATTCAAAAGATGGATGTGATCACTGGTAGCTGGGCTATGTCCTAAGTGCTGGCTTTCTCTAGGGGAGCTTGAGTTGCATGAGGAGTGAGTTTTTCTGCTTTGTGTTTTCAGATTGCGTCAGTGCTTTTGTGTGGTTTGCTAAATTGGCATAGGTGTGTTTCGCCATCTAAATGGACTTAGTTTAAACCCACAGGGAAAAGCTAGAATTCCTTAAATTATAAACAATTCTATCATTTTTGTTTTTTGACACACAGGATGTCCAGCTACTAGACACAGCAGTTCCTTTTTTAATGTGAGAGGTTTTCATCCTTAAAAATCTCAAGACACTTTAAACATAAGAGGGGACCCACTTAATTCACCACATAACTGCAGAACACATTTGGAAACTATTCTACATATAGTGGAGTGCTTCATCACTTGAAACTCAGTTGGAAGTTTAGAATAGAAATGGGTTAACATCCCTATCCTTTTTAAAAGGGATCTTTTTGGAATATCTAAAGTTAAAGGTGGCATCAGAAATGTGTAACCTTTAAAAGTACAGCTGTGTGAGTCCTTTCCACATCTTAAAATGTGGACTAGAAACCTGTGTATGTTGATAGTGTAGTGCTCAAAGACTGGACTTCGAAGGAACCAAACATTCTAGCGGAGCTTTCTTGTGTTTACAAGTTATTCATAATACCCAGAACTGTCCATCTAGGCAGTGAAACACCATATGACATGACGCATTCTTGTTAAAGTGGATTTTCTCTGCTTATTAATGTTAAAATCAAAGAGCTGGTGTAGCTAGTGTGTAGAACCACATATGACGCTGAAACTGTCATCTCTCTGACCCTATATCCTGGCTTTGCACTTATTGAAATGGCATTGGCCATCTCATTGGGCAAATTGTTCAATATGAATACGTTCTTGCACATTTAGTGTGGTCCGCCAGCGTACTTATTCTGTTTGTATTCTGAAGCAGTTTTTATTTCGTGTTTTGTACATCACGAGAAGATGGAGCGTGTGGTTTACTATGCTAATATATTTTGTGTATGCGGTATGTAATGTGTGTAGATATAAACTAGCATCATGCTCTGCTCCATTAAAGGCCAAGAAAGGGGTGTGGGCATACAAAAGGATAAACTAAATAAAACTAAAAGGTGCTTTGACATACTTTTGCTTATACAAGCCACCTTGCTAATTCCCCTTATCCCCGTGTTTCCTGCAGGTGCTGGTGGAATGAGCGTTGCGTGTGTGTTGAAGAGAAAAGCAGTGCTCTGGCAGGACTCCTTCAGCCCCCACCTTAAACAGCACCCACTCGAGACGAGCCAGCCCAGCATGCCTGTGGTGTTGACGACGGGGTCAGGAGCCCCCCCGGCAGGGCAGACCCCCCAGCCCGCGCCCCCCAGCCAGCCCCTCCCCGCAGGGGCGCACTTGGGCCAAGTGCCCGGGTCGGCGGGGGGCGCGGGGCGCTCCCAGGACGACGCCATGGTGGATTATTTCTTCCAGCGGCAGCACGGCGAGCAGCCAGGTGGCGGGGGGTACAACAACGGCAAGCACCGCTGGCCCACCGGGGATAATATCCACTCCGAGAACCAGGTAAGAGTGGGCTCTGGGACCGAGGGGAGGGAAATAATGAGCACAGTGGACTTCTTATGAATGAGCTCTGCCCTGTTCTGAGTGCTTCAACCAGTAAAGGTGTGCTCAGGATGGACTCGGATGGACTCGGTACCCCCTTGCTGGGCTGTGTCCTGTGGCCAGTCTGGTTGCCAGGTCTGCCAGGGCTGGGTTGGAGGATCCTCAGCTTCCTTCTTTTGGTGCTGTGATCTTGGCTGTGGCAACACAGCACACGCTTAACAACAACCTTGAAGAAGCTCTGGTTAAATGACTTATTAGTTCAATAACGGATTTTGTCTCTTAGCGATTTATCTTTGTCTTTTGGCCTTAGGTCCGATCCATGGATGAATTGAATCATGATTTTCAGGCTCTAGCGTTGGAAGGGAGAGCTATGGGGGAGGTGAGTATTCAGCGCCTTTATTGGTCTCATTTTTCTTTTATTTTCTGATGAGCCTGATACAGACATTAACTCATTACTCAATATGGATTCTTTGCTATGTATGTGCCGTACTATCCTAATAGCAGAATGAGCACAAACGTAAGCTGCTGGATAGTTTAACTGATGACATTCAGCAGGTATGTCAAACTCATATGTCACAATGGGCTAGGCTTCATTTTAAATGTACTTTAACTGGGCCTTGTATAAATGCGTAATACAGAAATCATTGAAAATCAGGAAACAACCGTTATATAGTATTTTTTTTTAACAAAGACATACCTTCCAAAATATTTAATTGTCATGAGGAGCCGGTGAAGAGGCAGTTTTGCAAAAGGAACTAATACATCTCTGAGTTTTAGGTGTTTTTTTTGCATTAATAACTGTCATTTCAAATATAGCTGTGATTATAACAATAGGCCAAAAATAAATAAATGAACAACTGCATGTATGATTTTCATTTGGTGAGTGGCAAGACTGAAATGTTTTAAAAAGGCTGTGGTGATCAGCATCACCTGTAAACACTGCTTGAGGGACTCACAGAACTCTCTGGGGCTGTGGTGTTAAAAATATCGAATGCAGGTTTTGCTTTGTTTCTTAATTAGCAGGTACCAGTGCTTTTAATGGAAACAGATTCCACAAAGGACAATGTTAAAAGCAGATTGGTTGACATGAAAACAAGTTGATGAATGTTTATTCTGTAGATCGGCAATATAAAACCAATTTTCTACAATTATTGCACATTTAAAACATGAAATAGATTGACAATTAAGAATTAAATCTGTATAGTTTGCTGATGCTGCAGCCTCCTATGCCTGGCACTTCTTAGTTTGGACCACTACATCAAAATCTAGAGACTGGGCCTTGGAGAACTGAATAATGAGTTCAGGTGGGCGTCTGTGAGATGTGATTCCACCTGAAATCTTTCTTCTGTTCATTACAGAACGAAGCTGCTAACATGGATAGAATTTAAAAAACAAAAGACTTCGGCTGGGGATAATTTGGTATTGCATTTTGATAAAATGTTCTAGAGTCAACACTGGAAAACTTGTGTTGCATACAAATCAAGAAATAGGAATTTCTTCACTTTTTTGAGCACAATTTTTTTTCGATATGATAGGCTTTTTTGCAATGTTCAAGAATGCACCATATAGGTTTTTTCCTCATGATCTTGAAAGGACGGTTTTGGTGAGAAAAATGTCTGGCAGTCGCAGATGTTCCAAACTGCGGTGCAGGGTTTAGAGAAGTGTATGTACGGGTCTTGCTGCACTATTTTCCCTTCTGTTTTCGTGTCAAGACATGGCCCTGTCAAACAGGATCTGTGACATCATCAAACGGGTGCACTGCGATTGGACAGAGGTAGAGAACTTGGATGGCTTTGTGTCAGACTGTTATGGTGCCATTACCAAGGGCACTGGGCAGCTCAGACTAGACTCTTGTCGCTTTATGGACGTGGGCTGCAGGTTTGACAACCCTGACTTACAGGAAAAATGAAGCGATGGAATCTCATTCAGTTTGCATAGTTGACTCTTTAAGAGTCTTTAGACTCTTAATTTTTCTTTTGGAAGAAATTCATCTTTTTTTCTCCAACTGTATTTTTAGCATTTTACATGATGCACGGTCACAAGCATCTTGTGCTTTGGCAGTCTGAGCTGTGCCGCCCACCACAGTGTGCTCACATACACGTGCCAGTGTGTTCAATTATTTAAAGAAATGCAGCAGGAAATGGCCTTTTCTCCTAAGCCAGGGCTGTTGAAGGATGGCAGGCAAGTGAGCACTGCAGTGGCAGGGAGGTTCTAGTTTCTGAACCAGGCACTGTCAGGGGCTCCTTTTCGTCCATGTGGCTGGGCTGCTTATGTTTATTTTGCTTCTGCTCAGTCAACAGTTATTCTATGCGCAGATAGTTCTGTTGCTTTTCATCCACAAGGGTCTCAAAGTGCTTTACATATATGAAGGGACAAATTTCATCCATCTCCCTGGAGATGCTTAGCTGCTATTTTTCTCCAACAGCCGATCAGGTGCCAAAGTGTTAAAATTCGGGTGGGCTAGCACCATGTGATTAATGACCTGTCCTCAGGACCTCGATTTGTCTCATACAGCTACCCCTTCGAGTTTGGATATTCTTGTCCGGAGGGAAGAGTACCCTCTATATATTATAACCAATATCAGCAGCAATTAAGTTTTTCTTTGGATGTCTCCTGTGTCAATACTGACCATCCTGTTTTCTAGTGGTTAGATTGTGATGTGCACACCTAGGGCTGGTTGACTGTTTTGTGCATACGCCTATTCCAATTCCTTAAGATAACTAGCATTTGTCGTGTGTAGCTCATTTTACTTGTGTGGTAATGGCAAGTGTCACTGCTTGTGTCATTCTGTTCTTATGTCTGAATGGCTTTAAGTTTTATATATGAGTACCCTTGAGTCCATCAATCATAGGTCTGATAAAGTCAAATAACTACGTGGAAAGTAAATAAATATGTGGAAAGCATATGTAAAAAAAATGTTTCCTCCACATTAAGGCACATATATTATGGTCTCTTATAGTGCAGAACCTACATAGTGTTACAAGATAGCTAACAATTACACAAAAATGTCTTAATCTGCAATGTACAGATGTAACTGCAACTATAAACAAACATAGCTGCTGGAAGTGGTGTGACAGGTGAACAATTTTATATTGGCTCATAACTTCAAGAAATAAACTCTAGATGAATCATTATTGCAAAGCTCTACCACATTGAATGCATGTTAAAAAATAAAACTACTAAAATGCAATTCTATAACAACTACATAATGTTTGTTTTACAGTAGCCTTAGAAGTTCTGAAGTAAACTTCAGAACAGGTTTTAAGATTAGCAGTGATGGTATGTATCGTGTCTAGCAGAAGTAACTATTTAGTTTTACAATTAGGCCCATTGTTTATTGGAGATTTATTCTTTGGATCTTGCAAAATATGTTCAAGGGGTATAAATCTGGAGCTTGGCTACCTATTTCAAAGATGTGACATGTAATACTGGTACTAATTAATGCAGTAAGACTGGATTTTTTAGTTAATTGGGAGGACTAGAGTGACAAATTCCAACTCTAGTGTCAGTGTAAATTTTCAGTTATCAGACTTTTAATTAATCTGTTTCTTTAGTTCTGATTATATTTTTAAAATTATTTTAATTGTACTATGTACTATGTACCATATAAAAAGCATTTTTTAAATGAGTCTGGAATGGTTGTGTTCTGTCAGTCACTGTACACTTGATGCGCTCTAGTTCCTTTTTTTTTTGTAACATGGATTTCACTTAAACATTTCACTGAAATTAGGAAGTGCTTACCCGCCATGCTTGGATAACCATGGATCCTGATACCATTTTTTCCTCCATGAATTTAACACAGTAGGTAGTTCACACAGTCAAGGATCAGATGTCTAGACATCTAATGTTTACTTTGTCTAGAACTGGGTTTTGTTTTTAATTTCCTAAAGCTCTTGCATGCCGCTGTAGGAAGGGCGCTATGTAAAGTTTGCATTGTCTCATAATGTGACTCATTGGGTGTTCTCTGTGCATTAGATTTGTTACCCCTGTAGTTGCCGAAAAAGATGCTTGTAAAAATACCGTTGCCAGTAGAAGTCACAGTTCTGATACCTGTTTTCTGCCTCCTGTGCACCACAGCAGCTCCTTCCTGGGAAGAAGTTCTGGGAGTCCGATGACTCGAGTAAAGATGGACCAAAAGGGATATTTCTTGACCAGTGGAGGGACAGTGCATGGGGAACATCGGGTAAAACATAAATGCAATCTTTTGTGATATATGCAATTGGCAGAAAGCCTCTGACCTTACAGTTGGTGTAAGTGTAGGGCGTCATGAAGTTTGAATGGCTTTAATGTTGCAGAATATGCATCTGTTTGTCCTCCTCTCATGTTTGTGAAACGAATGATATTGCTGTAAGCTGAGATGTAATGGCTCTGGCAGTAGCTCCAAAGTGACCATTACCCCTTTACATTGTTATGCAATTGTAGTCATCAGATTATTAAAAGATATTTAAAAATGTACATTGTAGAGCACCTAGAAGAATCTCTGGATGTGTCTTTACAGTGTAACAGGCTTCCTTGTGGTGCCTCCACACAAGGAAGGTGTTGATACAGGTGCCAGTTGTAATAGATCTTCTCATCTGTCTACAGATCACTCGGTTTCCCAGCCAATAATGGTGCAGCGGCGACCCGGCCAGGGTTTCCACGGCAGCAGCGAGGTGGGCTCGGTGCTGTCGCCGCGCTCTGAAAGCGGCGGTCTTGGGGTCAGCATGGTGGAGTATGTCCTGAGTTCGTCCCCAGGAGAAAAACTGGACTCCTGCCTTCGAAAGGGAGCTTTTGTAAGTGGACATTCCAAGTGAGGAGTTCTTCATGGAAGAATGTGTTACAAAGGAGAGTTTTCACAAATGGAGAGGAGTATTGTTTCTCCTTTTCTGGATACCTCTCCATATATATATATTTCGGTAGGCATCGATATAGAGGTGTACAAATATATTTAAGCTGTTTTACAAGTCTGCACAAAGCATACTGCATACTGTCCTACTAGATGTCAGTTTGAGAAAACTGATTATGGATGCACGTAAAAATATTTAGAGCCAGGTTTTCTTTTATAGATTCTGAAAATTACAAAACGGCTTCTTGAGACATCAAGATAATTAGGTTCTTCCTTCCAGGGACCTCGAGATCCCGAGGCAGATGACGGTGAGAAAAGAGAGAAGAAGCCCAAGGCGACCTTTGACACGGACAAACTGAGCGACCTGAAGGAAGTGGAGAGTGATGGGATGGACAAACCAAATGGCCTGCCTGTGCAGAACGGGATTGATGTGGATGTTAAGGATTTTAGGTATATGTTCAAAAACTTAAGACTTAAGACGAGGGCTTTTTTAGAGATCCATATTAAGCCAGAAAATGTGTTTGTCATGCCTGATTTAAGCTCCTGACTCTTAGGGATAGTGCTTTGGTGATTGTAAGTCTGAGTTTCAGGATACATTTAAAGGAGTTGCAATATGGGTTTGTTTTAAAGAATTATGATGAGACAAATATGGCAGCATTGCAAATATTTATAGACATTTGTCTTTGTATGTTGTTGGACATAGAGAATACCACATTGTTCAAGTCCTTCAGCCACCCTGCTGATCTCTCACCTTCATCCTCAGCTTTGTATAATTTTTTTGGATAAGCCTGCTTTCAATTCCTTTTGAGTACATAAAATGTTATTGTATTGACAAGAGGCTCCAACAGGGAGAGAACCTTTATGATAGTATGAAAATGAAAGAAACTGGAAAGGTATTCCAAACTGCAAGCCACTTAGGGCAGACTCGTTGAGTCAAATGAAGTCATTAACAGATTTTCTTTGAGATTGATTGCCTGCTGTTGAGTGTTGCAGTCAATTCTTCCTCAGTCTTCAGGAGCCCTAGGCTGTTTTACTGATAAAAATTCAAAATCAATGTCTGGCTTTCTTGGATGGCTTATTAAAATAAGTAAAAAACCTTTCGGACTCTCAGCAGTAGTTTACAACAACACATTCGAAACACAAGCTTAATAAGAATGGTGCCAGAAGTGATAACTTTCAAGGAACCACTTTGTGGCTGTCTCTGTAATCCTGTATCCTTGGTGTACTTGTTCCCGACAGCCGCACGCCTGGGAACTGCCCGCCGCCAGGAGCCGAGGTGGACCTCCTGGGCCCCAGCCAGAATGGCTCCGAGGCCCTGGCCCAGCTGTCCAGCAGCAATGGAGCCAAGCCCGTGGAGGATTTCTCCAATGTGGAGTCTCAGAACGTGCCCCTGGACCACATGGAATCGGTGGGCATGGAGCCCCTGCAGTTTGACTACTCTGGCAACCAAGTGCCCATGGACTCCACAGCCGCCACTGTGGGGCTGTTTGATTACAACTCCCAACAGCAGGTAGGACACTGGGAGTTATTAGTGGTAAAACTTGAAAAATCGCCACACCTGCCTAATACTTAATACTAGTTTAATACTTTAATACTAGTTTCTTTTGTTGGTACTGCCAAACTCTTGTTTTGGCGAGTGGAAGTATTCATATTTCTTTAGACTTAATCACCTTCTGTGTCTTGCATTTTGTCATCTTAAAAATAGGCCATTGTTATAAACTTTAAAAAGCTCTTGACACCTGGAGTATACGTCTTCCTCAACAGATACCATTATCTTCCTCTCGTCCTGTGTCCACACAGCTGTTCCAGAGACCCAGTGCCCTGGCTGTTCAGCAGCTGACCGCAGCACAACAGCAGCAGTATGCCCTAGCAGCCGCTCAGCAGCCTCACATAGGTAAGAGCTTTCGATTCCCACAGCGTGTGCAGAAGGACATATCCCAGTGAAAACCTAAAAATTAAGATCAGCTCTGTTTTGGAAATATAGAAGATAATTTTACCAAGCCTAAACTTGAAAACCAAGTGTTTCGGTCTAGTAAGTGATCAACAGCTTTTCTGTTATCCCAAAATAAAAACAGTGAGTGACATTCCCTCCATGACAGTATGTGCAAATGTTCTCCGAATAACTTATTTGACTAACAGTTCGTGTTGAATTTCTTTCTTGGTCTTATTTTAATTGACAAAGAAAAATCCAGACTCATATGCGCAGTTATGAAACAAATCTGTATATTGTTGATTTTATTTTTCTTGCAGCAATTTCATTACAACATGACAGAGTATGTGGCATCTATATTTAAGATTTCCATTACCAAATGTTTATTAAAACACCTTAGCTTGCTTGCAGATTCCATTCACCAAGGGAAAGATAAGTGATGAGTCTTGATTGACTGCCTAGTTATACTGAAATACTTGTTGGTTTGCAGTGGCTCAACACATGTGACTGCAGTTTTTCATGAAGTAGCAATTAGACCTTTTGTCTCTTGTTGGCAACATGAGACAGATGACACAGTTCCTTTACTTACCCACCTGCAGTTATCAGTTTCTTTCAATCCCTTAATCACTGCCTTGGAAACTGTTAAATTAAGGAAGCCTTTGTTCTGATACAACATAGATGTAGGGAAAAATAGCAATTACTGGAGATCACCAAGTCATTGTTGAGGAAGTGAGTGGTGTTTAGAATGGAGAAGAGGCTGCAAAGCGGAGTCCGACTCTGTTTATCTTTCTACTTGACTATAGAGCATATAATCCTCCCTGAACATAGGTGGTTATTCAGTATTCTTTTTTCAGCTTGATAAGATGGAGAACATTGGTTGTGCTTTGTAAAGTTTTCTCTGGTGCTACTCTGAATGAGCTAGCAGTTAAATTGTTTTAATTTTTTTTTCACGAGGTAACCTGCTCTTTAGTTACAGCACAGCTGACTCCAGGGGTTTTCATGCACTTGAGAATGAGATGTACATTAAGGGCATGATGCAGCACATATATAATGCTCATGGTTGCCAAGGTAGATGAGCAATGTTTAGATAGTGATTTACAAGGCATGATCAGTCTCTTCCTCTCACTTGAAATTCCTTAAATGTCCTGGAAGACATGGGCACTTCTTTATGTAAACTCATATTTTTGGGTAGCAGGTTAAAACATTGTAAAAGGCAATGTCAAACTGATTTGTGTCCATGCATGTGTCATACATTTATATATCCATATTAATTTAAATTTGTGTGGAACTTTAAAAAAAAATTAAGAGAAATAACCTATCGTGAAAACAGGAGGATGTCTTAATTTAGGATTTAAATTTGGTTATATCTGTTAACACAGTGTGCATTGCATAATTTATTAGGAATGAAAGATCAAGTGTAAATTATCCTTGCAATGTGGGAATGCAAATGGACAATTAAGAATTTGCTCTCCTATATTAACAGGATGATATCTTATACTAGACTGTACAGTTTCTCTTCCTAAAATTGCAGCTCATATTTCTTTAAATGGGATAATCAAGAGAAAAGTATGAGATTGGTCCACGTAATCCTTCCTGTAAGTGTCTGTAATGTGAGAATTTAAACTTTTCTTAGGTACATGGATCAGAAAGACTCAAACAAAACGTGTGGAACTGAGATGGAAACAGTTAAATCTTGCATAATGTTGCATAACTTGCATCGCCTGCATAACATTGTGAATACATCCAGGAAAAGTAGAATGATAAATTTGTGTTCCAACTTAGTTTTTTGAGTGTCCTTGAATGGTTGGCTTTGCATTAGTCTTCTTTTTAAAATGCAAGAAGAAGTAAAACCAATACAATTACAAGGGGCACTGGGATAGATTATTATAACTTTACTGAAATGGTTTCAAAAGTAAACCTCATCATGTTACTCTTTTACAGCTTCTGGCAAGCTGTTGGTTATTTTCGTGCAGAACTGTAACTGCAGGATTGCATTTCCAGCTAGTCAGTAAGGTTCTTTGAAGTGAATTCAGTTTTTAATGGATTACGTAATTCAATCCCTGTTTAATTCAAGTACTGGAAGATCATTAATTGAGCTTGCAAGTGATATTTAATCAGTAGATTTTTGTTTAAATGGTGGTTTTTGATAAAAGGTGATACTACAAACTGAGAAATTAGTGATTTATTTGAAAAAGCATTTATCTTTCAGTGCTATAAGATCAGAACCATTGAATCTTGCTCGTTATGTATCAGTATTAGAAATACTTGCTTCATTATTGAATTGTATTTAAAAATGCTGTGGAGTGTGCTTTTGCAGCAGTCTGCACAATTGTGCAAGTTGTTTTACAGGGATTAATGACAAAGCTTCATCCTTGAATCAGTCAGCTTCTGGCAAAGGAATGAGGCATTTGGACCTTTTTTGTGTTCTTGTTCTGGTTGATGCAAAATGTGAAAATCCTACTTAGGAACATGTTTGAAGTCAGTTTGACAGTGCAACTAGAAAGTGTTCTTTTGGAAGACAATTACGAGTACGTAGACTAATCTGTAGAAGGAGTAGTTTTGGGATCTTTGTAAATTTGTTTTGTTGCGTTGTGCAAGAGTCACTTGGTCAAAAGACAGATGTGAAGCTCTGATGGTTGAATGAGTTGTTTGTGTCAAAGCTTTATGTGGTTTCTCCTGCACCGTTAAGGTTGCGAGGCTGCAGGGCAGTCTGCGGCTGCCGTCCTATTGAATTCTGTTTTTACTGACAGGTGTGTTTTCAGCAGGTCTTGCTCCCGCTGCCTTTGTCCCAAACCCATACATCATCAGTGCGGCTCCTCCGGGAACAGACCCCTACGCAGCAGGCCTGGCTGCAGCTGCCACCCTGGGTATGAACTTTCTTACAGTTTCTTTACTTTCCCCTGGCTTGTCGCTGTTCCTCAAATGGTCCCCTTGAGAAGATTTCTTTCATTGTGTATGGGGAGTTGTATGTTGTTACAGCTCTCAAACGCAGTTAATTCAGTTTTTATACACCATCTTATTAGGGTCTGATTCTGAATTTGGAGAACATATGAGACCATGTCAGGCTGCTTTCGATTCATTGCTGGTTGTTTAAACTTTTTGACTAAAATAATTCACTCAGTTGAATTGGCTGTCAGGTTTGGCATTGGGGCATAGTAGTTTGTAACGCTGGGGCCCTGGTTTCAGTTCTGGACCTGGGGTGCTATCTATGTGGAGCTTGTATGTTCTCCCTTTGTACATATGGGTTTCCTCCCACAGTCCCATGATATATTCAATTTATTTCACAACAAGGTTGCCCCAGGGTGCTTAACATATTGGTATAATAATTGGAAAACAGAAATATGAGCAGACTATTCTTTCTCAGTATATGAAAGAGAAATGGCTTGGACTTGCACCCCAGAAGCTTCAAATCTGTCGTGAGATGAGAGCTTAAGAAACAAAAGGGGGGTGGTTAACATGTCCCATTTCTTATCAGTGCTTCACTAAGGTAATTAAGGCTGTTTCCCATCCAGAGAAACTTGAACCGAGTATCAGATAGGCTGTATCAGATCTCGACATTGTGTTGAGTTCAAGTCTGATAATTGATTTTACAGGGTTTGTTCTCGGTGTTGTGCATAGCAGTGCTTTGAGTTTCTGTCTTCATCAGCCTTAAGTATTCCGACATACTAGCTGCCTCCTTCTAATGTATTCCTTTGTTGTGGAGCAGGCCCTGCAGTGGTTCCCCATCAGTACTATGGAGTCACCCCCTGGGGAGTGTATCCAGCCAACCTCTTCCAGCAGCAGGCAGCGGCTGCTGCTGCGGCAACCAACTCGGCCAATCAACAAGCAGCATCCCAGAACCAGCAAGGCCAGCAGCAGGTATACTGTTTGGCTATCTCCTTGTGTGCATTAACCTCGCTCATGGGTTTTATCTGAGACCACAGGTTTTCTGTGAGAAAGACACTGTGCTAGCCAACCTTTCACACAAATAGTCTACTAAAGAATCATGAAAATGATGACAAACCATTGGCACAAAGCTTTCAACTCATCCTGGCATGCATATTTGTAGAGGCTTGAGTCATTTCTTTCCCATGCTTTGTTGTTTTGTTGTACTCCTCAGACTGCCATGAAACAAATAAGTTGTACTTTTCTAATGGAGAGCAGTCACCTAGCTTATTTATTATTCTTGTAAGAAAAGCTAGTGAAATATTTTGCGTTCACTTGCTTTTCACCTGAAAACTTGCTTTTGACAGGTTTTGGCTTTTTTTTCGTCTCAGGTTCTTCGTGCAGGAGGTAACCAGCGCCCCTTGACCCCGAACCAGAGTCAGCAGGGGCAGCAGACAGACCAGCTGGTCGCCGCAGCAGCTGTGAACTCGGCCCTTGCGTTCGGCCAGGGCCTTGCTGCTGGAGTACCTGGTCAGTGTGCAGCCCACGTCCGTCCAGGGAGCTCTTAGTGTGTAGCTGCCGATAAGAAATTTAAGGGCTTCCTGAGTTTGATTCTGTAACACCTTGATACACAAAATAATTTAATGTCTAGCCCTCCTCATAACTTTAGAAGTGTTTGCTGTTTTTGATATTCAGTTTTGTGCAGGGTATGTGCCCTTTTTTCTTAGCCTAGACTTTCTCAGCAGAGAAACTGCCTAGGCTGTCATAAATCAAAAACTGCCTCTTTCATGGTTTATATAGAGAACAGCAAAAATCCAGTTTCAGCACTTCATAAGCTTTTGCTGTTTTCTCCTCAGTTATGTATTTTAAGCTACAGTAGAGCTTTCCCTTTGAAATGGATTTACATTATATCCCAACTAATGAAGTACTGTACATCAAATCGACAGCTAACTAGATTGAAGTATAGAAATATGTATAAGTAAGGTATACAGTTCAGTATTTTTCAGAAAAATGTCTGTTACAGTATTATACACCCAGGCTGCAAGCCTTACTGCCTTTTAAATGTTTAGACAGATACCAAGAGTGAGCTAGTCAGTAGCTGAAATCCAGATAGTTGGAGGAGGGAGTTCTCACATTGTCTACACTTTTGTTGCTCTTGTGTTTTACGTTTATGTAACAGTGCTGTAGAACGTTTGATTGGTAACTTGCAGTTCTGAGTCCACTGATCTCTTGAATCCAGGCTATCCGGTTCTGGCTCCTGCTGCCTACTACGACCAGACAGGGGCCCTGGTGGTGAACGCCGGTGCCAGAAGCGGCCCAGTGCGGCTCGTGGCCCCAGCCCCCGTGATCATCAGTCCCACAGCCGCTCAAGCAGGTAAAGTGTGCTCCCGGGCCTCCCCGTGTAACCTCACTGAACTCTGGCTTACAGCATACCACTCAGCTTTAGCAATAGAAATTGTTCTTCAGAAACGTATTTGTTTTAATAGGTGCTTGAAAAGGACAAAGTGACTTTTTGCACTATTAAAGTTGATTGTTCTTGGCAGTAATGAATGATTTTCTTCATGCCAACTACCAGTCTTTTAATAGTTTTCTTGCAGTCCAAAAAATTAATCACCTGTTTTCTTTGAAATCCTATTAACCCTTGTTTTTTTTTACTGCATTGGACTGTTGTTGCTGTTGCATGGGGAAGGTGTGGATGGGAAGGATATAAAGAGAGTGCATGTTACTGGTGTGTGTGTTCAAGGTTAATTGTGAGGAAAGCCGAGGAGTATATTTAGGCTTTCATTTTTCTTCCTTTTCTGGCATTGGTACGCTGCAGTTTAGATGCAGATAAATCATTTGCATTTATTTGCTGCATATGTTTGTGAAATTCTAAGATGAGCCAACCCCAGGTGATTCCAATCTTCCAAAGCAGCTGCAGACGCGTTTTAACCTCTTGTGCCCTCTTTGCATCTCCTCCTCAGCTGTAGCTGCGGCTGCCGCCTCTGCTAACGGGGCGAACGGCGGCCTGGCAGGGGGTGCCAGCGGCCCTTTCCGAGCCCTGGGCACTCAGCAGCCCCAGCCGCAGCAGCAGCCTGGGAACAACCTGGCCTCCAGCTCCTTCTATGGGAACAGCTCTCTGAACAGCAGCTCCCAGAGCAGCTCCCTGTTCTCTCAGGGCTCCGGCCAGCCGGGCAGCACTTCCCTGGGGTTCGGGGGCAGCAGCTCCCTGGGCGCCACGCTGGGCTCCACTCTCGGGGGCTTCGGCACTGCCGGTGAGTGGGCCGTTCGGCCAGGTAGATGGCTTTTTCGACAGGGCGTTCCTTTAGACTGCCATTGTTTTGTTTGTTCAACTAGAATTCTGGTTCTGTAAAATCTCAGTACTTATAGGTGGATTGGAATTGTCTTTTGCAAAAAGGGGTTTTCCTTTGTCTACAGGGTTTTCACTGGGGAATACAACATTTAAAACTAGTTTTCTGACTAACCTTTTTGTCTATCATGGTGATGTAGATCAGATATGTAGCTTTGTTTCTGTAGGGATACAGCAGCACATTGTAAATGGTGTATATTCAGGGAGCAAAGATTGTTTTTCTTGCAGAGAAACCTGATTACCTGCATTTATCAGAATAAAAACTCTAAACAAGGGCTCCATTGGAGAGAACTGCACCAAACTCGCAATGAGATCAGGGAATATAAAGCTACTTGTGAGACAGAATCATGTTTTCTTCCCCCCAAATGCTCGGGACATTATTGCACATACTGCACTTAACATTTCCTTGTCATGTCTATAATACTACCACATGTGAAGATTAAAAGTCTTGCCTAGCTACTTAGCACATTGGAATTATTAATCTGAAGGCATATAAATGAAACCAGGTTTCTGATAGTTGAGAACCCAAGTGTGGACTCTGGTGATTGATAGTAGTATGACTGCTACATGTAATATGAGAGCTGATTGACAGAGTATTTGCTGCACCTGATGATCATGTGATCCGTGCAGGAGAATTGGCATCAACTAGCTGCCAAAACTTTTGATTTCTAGTTAGGTTTAAGAGTAAGTGGAGCCATCTGTGCTATGTCATCAGACCTTTTCATACTCAAGTTTAAGATGTATGTGTAATGGATATTTGAACAGGGAAATCTATAATGTCTGATATCTAGCTGTATTGGTGCAGTTTAAGACTTACTGAGCCCACTCAGTCTCTGTGATAAAAAGTGTTCATGTCACTGCTGTTCACACTACATAGTACTTTCTTGCTCCAGACAGGGTAATTTGTCAAACTCCTGAAAGACACTGACAAGGAACCCAGTGTAGACTGCTTTTCACTTCAACAGTGAAACACAATCAGGGGACACAATTGAAAACTATAAGGTGGAACATGCCCCAGATGACCCTGTTTTGTTTGCAGTGTTTGTTTTTATGCATACTTAAGGAAAGGCTGCCAAGTGTCAGTAGGGATTTCACTAATACGGTGATCTTTCACACCCAGCCAGTCATCATTTTACTCCAGTGCAAATCCAAAATGAGAAAGGTGTTGTGTCTTTATGATTTAGTCACACCTGAAAAGTAGTTCACTCGGGACAGTAATAAATGGGCAATTCTGCAAAACAGGAATGTTACACTCAAATGAACAACGATAGACATTTACATTGAGAGGGCAATACTGGAGCTGCTCTCTTATGTATTTATTTTCGTTACACCTTCATGGAGATCAATTCTAAGCCGTAACTTTCAAATGTGTTGGCATTGATTTTGTGTTCTTTACCTTGTTAGCTGTTTTAGATGATTGGTTCAAAATTATTAAAAATGTTTATACAAGAGTAAGTTGCAGGATCTTAAATCTCCAAAGATCTGTCAGTCTGCTGGGTTCATGCCCAGCAATTTCCTGAACTGCAAAGCAGCCACTCAAAATGGGAGAACTGCCTACAAGAGAGAAAGTAGCTGTAAAATGCTCGGTTAAATATAGAAAGGTCTGAATAAATTTCTTTGCGATTGACACTTTAAAGCATGGAAAATTTTTATTTAATGTGAAACTGGTCCCATCTGAGCTTAGCGACCTACCCAGAATCAGCATATGGAAAAGGCTTAAAAGAGCATTCTAGTCGCTGCCAGGTGTAGATAAGCTATGAGATTGATATTGACTTCAAAGAATTTCTTTGTCATCTGGTATGCCTCCATCCTTGTGTTTTTGCTAGGGGTGGAAAGACAGAATACCATATCTGGGTATAAGATGAAAGCACTTATTTGCATGGCTGTAGTGTTCTGCAGATGTGAGTGTGCTGAGGAACATTTCCAAGGTTCCATGTAAAGAAAGCGTGCAAAGGGAATCCATTATCTTATTTTTTCAGTGAGTTTGAGGTCCATAGTTCTTCATTAAGCAGTACATAGAGGACAGTGTGTGCGTCAATCACATTAAAATATTATAGTATAGTAATATAGTAATAGGTCTTTTTAAAAAAGGTTTCAGACCCGATTTCCGAAATTTGACTTAAATATCTTTGGGGGGACTAATTAAGCTAATGATGCTGAGCACGAGGTTTCATTCATGAGGATGTTTTGCACAGTTGGGTAGGTGTGAGCTTTTCTGTAAAGGACCACATACACTGACAGTGAAATCGGTTACAAATTCACCTGTAATTTACACTGGAATGTTGGTCCTCTGGTGGAGAGTAAGAGTTAACCAGCTAGTGTACTTTGTCAAGTTAAAGCAGAGGTTTGATTTATCAGGCTTCACAAAACAATTACCTTTTGTGGTCAACATTGTCCTCCATTAGGCTCTCCCCCTATCGGTGGTAGATGCCACAGCTTCAGCATTCCTCAATTCGTAATTCACTTTTGTATTCTTTTTCCAGTTGCCAATTCCAACACTGGCAGTGGTTCTCGCCGGGACTCCCTGACTGGCAGCTCAGACCTCTACAAGAGGACCCCCAGCAGCCTGACTCCCATCGGCCACGGCTTCTACAACGGGCTGGGCTTCTCCTCGTCCCCGGGGCCAGTGGGCATGCCCCTGCCCAACCAGGGCCCCAGCCACTCCCTCACTCCACCACCCTCCCTGTCCACGCACGGCTCCTCCTCCAGCCTTAACCTGGGTGAGTCGCGCTGTGCTCGGCCCTAGTAGGAAAGCATGCATTGGGCAGAATTGTAAGACAGGTCATTTTCTCGTCGTTTAAGCTGTACCAGTGTATCGCTGATCACATCACCCATTGCAGGGGGTGGATTGGAGAGCTGGGTACACTTGGATAAGAGATCATCATGTTGGATGTGCTGAATAGTTGGTGTCTTTAATAAGCAACTTAATATAAATGCCTTTAGATGAAAACATTTATTATGCATATCCTGTGTGTATCTAAAATGTGTAGGTTGTAAGCGTCCAGTGGAATTAAGCACAATGGGAGTTTGCATAGAAGCATGCTATGATACTTTGTTTAACCAAAAATGTGGGAAAATGTTTATGCAGTGCTCTCGCCATTTGCCATTACATGGAAGTGGCAATGCACAGGGAGCAATATAACTGGGAGAGGATGAAGCTGTTCCTTAACATTTGGGAGGAAATCGGAATGCAGAAGGACAGGTGCACAATTACCCAGCATATTTCCCAGGTTGCAAACTTGTCCATCTTCCTGACAGGTGGCCTGACCAACGGCAGTGGACGGTACATCTCCGCAGCACCGGGCGCTGAGGCCAAGTACCGCAGTGCCAGCAGCGGCTCCAGCCTCTTCAGCCCCAGCAGCCAGCTGTTCCCTTCCTCGCGGCTGCGCTACGGCATGTCCGACGTCATGCCCTCGGGGCGCAGCCGGCTGCTGGAGGACTTCCGCAACAACCGCTACCCCAACCTGCAGCTGCGCGAGATCGCCGGCCACATCATGGAGTTCTCCCAGGACCAGCATGGATCCAGGTGTGGCATCGCTGTTTATTTTAAGTGAACAAAGGCATTGTGACAGAGGTTTTGAATCCTGCTCCTGGATCCCTGTGATTCTATTGGTTTTCATTTCTGCCTAGCTGATTTTATTTAAAATGAAGCCTTAATTGACCTATCAAGCTCTTTGAGAGAATTTGAAAAATTTTCTTCTGTTCAAATGTTTGGGATTTTGTTTTACTTATGCAATGCAGTAGTTATAAGGCTGCTTCCTGCAAGTGGTAAGAGCTGAAAACAATCATTTCAGAAGAATACTGTTATCAAGTCAAATTGTGTGTGGGCCTCCAGGACCAGGTTTAAGAACCCCTGTTTCAGCCGGTTGACCAGTTAATTGGGGGAATTCTTGCTTATGTCTCATTACATAATATGGAATATTGGATTATTAAGCATGGATTATTATACTAGTGTTAGTCTGGTGTTAGCAGTCTGCATTGGACTGGCGAACTGTCCCAGGTGTATCCTGTATTGTTCTCGTTGCTTGCCTGGATAGGCTCCAGCTCCACAACAACACTATACAAGATAAAACAGTTAGAAAATGTATGGATAAAATAATAGTACCAGATAATTAATTACTCAGTAATAGAATGGTTTATTGAGTTAGTGAGCAGTAACTAGCATGCAGGCTGACAACTAAAAAAATTAACTAGTTTTGAATTTTAAACTGTACAAAGATATTAGCATTGAAATCAGGAATTAAAGATGTGATACAAAAATGTGCTTGCATCTCTGCTGAAGTGGAGCAGGGTTTTTATTCCTCTGTACCAGTGGCCTCTGTGTCCTGAGACTGTGTATGTGTTTTTCAGGTTCATTCAGCTGAAACTGGAGAGAGCCACACCAGCAGAGAGACAGCTGGTCTTCAGTGAAATTCTGCAGGCTGCCTACCAGCTCATGGTTGATGTTTTCGGCAATTATGTCATCCAGAAGTTTTTTGAAGTGAGTCACTCCTGTGCATGTTCGTCTTGACACTTTTATCTAAAGCACCTTTCATTTGTACCCTTTTATGTAGCTGGGTACTTTTAATAGAGTAAGTATTTTTCTCAATGGTACAACTGCACTTTCTCACCTGGGATTTGAATCCTAACTAGCTCCTCACAGCTGCTCCTTCTTATCACACTGTTTGTTCCATTTGTATTTGCCTTATTGCAAAAGTCAAAATGGATACAAATGGTATGAGTTGCAGCTTGACAAAGGCTGGTTTAGAAGTCAGAGAAAGTTTGTTTCTGCAGAAGCTACCAGCTGAGAGCCTGTGAAGGAATATATTTTGATTCTGAAATAGAACAATATTGTATTATATGACTGCATGATTTTTCCCACTCTAGCTAGCGATCTCATACTGTTGATCTCATATGACAAATAAGTAACTTCATAGCTTTTTTTTTTGTGGTGGTATTTATACACCACCCCACTACACTTAAATCAGTTTTGATAGGTATTACACTTCATTTGCACCACAAAATGATCATTTACATTCAGTGTGTTCTTGTAGAATTTGTCAGTGTTGAAAGATGAGACTTGCTCCTGCTAGACAGATTTTAGAAAAAAAACGGCTTAGTGAATCAGCTGTGCTTTTGTGTGAGAGGGTCTGCGTCTCCTGTCCTCAGTTTGGCAGCCTGGATCAGAAGTTGGCGTTAGCTGAGCGAATCCGGGGCCATGTCCTGTCTCTGGCGCTGCAGATGTATGGGTGCAGAGTGATCCAGAAAGCTCTGGAGTTCATTCCCTCTGATCAGCAAGTCATTGTAAGTGTCACGTCCCTCTGTGTGTTTCTCATCTCTTTAACGTTGTGGCTGACCTGACCCTGTGCCTGAAGGGAAGTTCTGTGTTGTACATCCCTTTTGTTCTATAAAGTAGAAAGTTTCTTCTAGGCAAATTACCATTTTCTACCCAAAAGAGCCGCTAACTTAGTTTGCACTTCTCAAACCTTCATTCTCAACAAGTTTTTTTGTTTAATTTAAATTTTAAGTAAACTACAAGTTTGCTGTTACTGTTAGGGTTTTAAGATTAGAAAACCTCAGCCAAAATTTAAATGTAGAAGTATTCCAGTGAATTCAGTGTTTTGGGAAGCTGGGTGTCGGCTCCTTTTTTATGTTCAAGTTGAATATGCAGATGGTTTGCTTCAGGTTGCTAGTTCAGTCCCTAGCATTGTTTTGTTTCGTCGAGTTTTGGAAAACCAGAAGATCCTTGACTGGGACTCCTCTGCTGTTGGTAACAAGGACATGTCTTTGTTTTCTCAGAGCGAGATGGTACGAGAGCTGGATGGCCATGTGCTGAAGTGCGTTAAAGACCAAAATGGGAACCATGTGGTGCAGAAGTGTATTGAGTGTGTGCAGCCCCACTCCCTACAGTTTATCATCGATGCTTTCAAGGGCCAGGCAAGTGCAGCTTTAGGCTACAACTGGAGCTGTGGATGCAGCACCGAGTGTCAGTAGAATGAATTGTATGGAGTCCTGGCAAAAGTTCTGTAGGGCATTATTGATACACTGCTTACTATCTTGTCCTACTTCTGTTGCACCATTTCCTGTGTGATCCACGTGCTTCTTGAAATGCCACTAACAACTCGGCAACATCACGCAAATCTGTAAGGATTAAAAATGCAGCTCCATTTAAGTGCTCAACCTGTATAAGAAGGTAAGCCGCAGGTTTTTTTAAACATATTTAGACCTGGCGTTTGTTTCTGTTACATACCCATCCAATTGGGAATCGCGACTTGAGTTTTTCATGGCTGCAAACTCAAGTGCGGAAGAGAGAGAATGAGACGGTTAGGACTCCTGACCCATCTGCATTCAGGCCACTCATATTTTGACACGTCACACACTATGCAGCCCTGGTCAGGTTCAGCACCAACTGGAGCAACAGTGGATCCATAATATCACCATTGGTCTAGGTGGTAACAGGGGTCACTCTCACCCAGAACTAAGAGATCCATCAGCAACGCTCAGCCAAACGTACGCTGGCACTTTAGGAAGTGGAAGTCACAGCCATTTTGACATGCCCCCGGTTTGAACCAGCAACTGCTGGATTGCTGAGCTTAATGTGCCTCCACCAGTCATCTCTGTTAACTGGTGAAGCCACTTGGGAACTATGTAAAATATTGTGGAGTTCTTTAAATCATTCATTACCAGTACTGAAGAGAAGGCTCATCTGCAATTTGAAGAGCTATTGCAGAGTGTGTGGTGTTCAGGATGCAGCTTTAATTACTTCTGCAAAAGTCAGCACATATTTCATACATGTGAGTGGACTGACTGTCACTTTCCTTGATGCTGTACTCTCAGGTGTTCGCTCTGTCCACTCACCCTTACGGCTGCCGTGTGATCCAGCGCATCCTGGAGCACTGCCTGCCGGAGCAGACCCTGCCCATCCTGGAGGAGCTGCACCAGCACACGGAGCAGCTTGTACAGGTAACCCTGCCCCTGCCCCTCTCGATGTGGAGCTGCTGAAGCTGCCTCTGAAGAGACCATTGTTGGCATTAGAAAAACAGTTTACTAACATTTCTCCCAGAAATATTTCAGACATGACCTATTTGTGGGGAACACCCAAAGCACTATAAACAGTGTAGTGAAGAATAATTTTTCACTTTTTATTACTAATTATTTTCACATTGGTAAATTGTGGCAACTTTCTTTGTGAGTCTTTTTTTTCAAAGGATGATAGGAAGTCATTAATCACAGCTAAAGTAAAAGGGAACCCTTTCAGTGTATTAACAGAATATTCAAATTAGAACTCATTTTATAATGGACACTAGAATAATAAAGATAAATGGTAGAACTGCACGCGACATGGAAACGAAGCAGTGGGAGATGTGGGATTCTACACACAATACACTACACCAGCACAACAACAAAAGCAACACAGCAAAATATCTTAAAATTCCATTTCTATGTACAGTTTAATACTACATATTTACATTGCTTACTGTACTTATAAATAAAGACTTGCATAAAGTAAAACTACTTTAATTTGTCTAGCAACATAGTCTGTGCTTCTCTAAACTTGTTAGGATGCTTTGCGTTTAGAAGCTAAAAAGTCAGGGCCTAGAAAAGACAAATTACATAAACATCTCAGTTATAAAATAATACAGTAGTATATCATTTTTATATAATACAAAGCTTTTTTTGCAGTGATTTGATTCGAAATTTGCCATTTTTTGCAGGTAAAGTCAAGGGGATCAAAAAGTCTATGGTGTAAAAGCAAGGAGATATTAAGCAGGGACCCCCTGTATCTCTATAGCATACAGGGGGCTTGGCTGCCAGCTGTCAGTGGACATTATTTTCCAAGGCAGGGAATAGGGTTTTTGGGACTAGCATCAAATGCTGGGAAATAGTCCCTCCCTGCCCAGAGTGTGGTGGAGCACAAATCTGAAACATTATTTAGTGCTAAACAATCAGGACATGAAACAATTAGGTGTTACACCACCTTGAAGCAGTTGTGTATTTTTAACATTTTACAACTGTGGTATAGTTGACCTCCACTACTGAATTTGGAGCAAAATTTTCCAAGCTACCTGACTTTTTATAACCTATTATTATATCATTCTGTAAAGAAAAGAGAGACAACGTTTTGGCTGTGGAGACACCACCTTTTTTATTTTCAGCACGGAATAAACTTTTTCCTGTTCCTTTGCAGCCTATGCATGTGGGTGAAGCCACCCACTAGAGTGTAAATAGGGTTTGTTTAATGTTCTTCATTTAACTGCAATTTCTAAAAATTGCCGCATTAAGTGGCAGTGGCTAATATGTTTATTTGAATTGTTCATAATTTTAGCCTGTCTTCGTGTAACTGTATTTACCATCAATATGTTAAGTTTCATCAGTAAGTTCCTCTTCTGCACAGGACCAATACGGGAATTACGTCATCCAACATGTCTTGGAGCACGGCCGGGCAGAGGATAAGAGCAAGATTGTGGCTGAAATTCGAGGCAACGTTCTGGGACTGAGTCAGCACAAGTTCGCCAGGTATTCATTTAGATCTTGAATGTATCCGACACAGTCAAGTTGAAGCTGTGTAAGCTATATTCTTTGGAGGGAAAAATCTAGGTGTTTTGAAACTTCAATTGGTAGTTTGCGAGATGAAAAGGTGTACTTGCTTGGCATTGTGTTTGGATTATACCACTCTGCCTGGGGTCATTGCTACTGCTTTGTTTGTGGAGTTTGAGGAATAACTGGTGACTGGGCGTTGGCAGGCGAAAGAGGAAATGTAGGTGTGGGAGTATCTTGGGGAAAACCATCTTTAAAAAAAACTTAGGATTTATTTTTTTATACATACAGGAAGAATTCGCATTCAGTTTCAGTTAACTTAAAAAAAACATTGAAGAGGACAGTGTGAGAATTTTCATTTGGATTATTATAGTTGAAAAAATGCTTCTCCTGATGTAGTTGCTCACTAAGGTAAGGTACTGAGGTAAAGGTCCTGGATTGGTTGTCATTTGTGCCCTTTATTGCTCGTAACACTGTCTTCCTGTGGTGCTACTAATGTCATGCCAGTAATTAAAGGGTGAAAAAAGGTGTCTTATTTCCTGCAAGGGTTTCTCCATACCTCACCATCAGGCATCATAAATTGCCAAGCGTGATAAATTGTCACTGCTGAGGTGCCAGAGGTTGTCAGTTTGCTCTCCATTGCAAAAAGTATATTTGGTTATTAGCATAAGACAGAAATGACTCCATATTTGTAATTTGGCTTGACAGCTCAAAAAATTTGTGCTCTGTCTAGCTAAAGGTAATCCACAGACCTCATGATCACATCAGCCCTGCTGTGTCTTGGAAGGCTACTTTTCCAACAGTCTTCTCTCTCTTGCAGCAATGTGGTGGAGAAGTGTGTGACCCACGCCTCTCGGACAGAACGTGCCATGCTGATCGACGAGGTGTGCACGATGAATGATGGCCCACACAGTGCCTTATACACCATGATGAAGGACCAGTATGCCAACTATGTGGTGCAGAAAATGATCGATGTCGCTGAGCCAACCCAACGCAAGATTGTCATGCACAAGGTAGGACAGACATTCAAAAAAAAAGAGCTGTTGCACTTATTTCCATTCGTCCTTGGCATATTGAATAGACATGGAGTTTGAGAGAAGGCATCACACTACTCTTCCTGAGACCCCAGGAGAATTGGAACACTAAGAGCCAGGGCTGTCTAGGTTTGACCATCCAACAGCCCTTTTGCCCTATTTCTTTTGGCTTGCTGAGCCAGTGCAGGAGGAGAACATGAAATGAGCCCATCAGTTCTCTGTCAGAGCTCTGGAGCCATTGCTGACCTGACACTGTCAGGAGCAGATGAGACGTTCATTTAAGGAACTGCTGCAGTTTAAGTATAAGTGGAAAAACCCCATCTGAGCATCTGTAACAAGCTCGTACATTTGATCAGAATATCGTGGTTAAATTGTTACATTAAAAATGAGATAGATTAACTGAAACAGCAATTTCAGAAAAGACCGAATACATATTTTTTGGATATATATATATAATACAAAGAGGAACTTTTCTTGGAGAAGGAGACATTTTCTTGGTAAAAGGAATGTTAATAATAGTCATGAACTGTGCTATTAATAGTTCCTTGTATGAATTGTCTAATTTTAGCTTGTTCAGCTATCCAAAATGAGTACTTGGCAATTTGAAATATTCACCTTTTAATACTTAAAAAGAGCCACAGTGCAGTAAGACGTGCAAATTAAATGTAAAAGATGAGAACCTCACCTCTTTTTTTCCCTGAAGATGTTCCTCTAAACCATGTAAAAGTCATACTATTCAAGGTTTAGCATTTTTTAATTGAGACGTTTGCTGATATTCAGACCAAGGAAGCTATTAATTCATGTTAATGGTAGCTTTAACGAGAGAGCTTGAAAAGGTCATTCTCCAGATATTTCTGTATAGCAAAAATGAAGTATTAGTAGGCAATCTATAAATTGTTAAAGAATCTCAATAAAAAAAACATTTAGTGGTTGAGTGTTCTTGTTCCTGTTTTTCCGATTTATGTTTTTCTATTTCTAACAAATGTAATGAAAAAAATTGAAATTCTGTTTTGTATTTTATAACAATTTTAAATTAGATTTTACCACCTTAATGTAAACATAACTATAGGACTAGTTGATTCTATTACATAAAAGTGAATGGATTTGGCTTTTGGTATTGTAAATTTCAGGAGTAAGGATGCCAGGATGTTAGAGTATGAAGTAGTAACTCCCAATTATGGCATAATGTGTAAGCACTGTACTTTGTACAAATTTCTATCTACAAGCCTAGGGTAATGGAAACAATTGTGAACTTGGTGTCTACTGGAAACAAAGCTACTGTTTTCCTCAGTCAAGTAAGAAACTGTCTCTCTCCACGTTTCCCAGATCCGGCCACACATTGCCACCTTGCGCAAATACACCTATGGCAAACACATCCTGGCCAAGCTGGAGAAGTACTACATGAAAAACGGCGTGGACCTGGGCCCAATCTGCGGGCCTCCCAACGGGATCATGTAAGGTGATCCCACTCTCCTTCCTTGTACACCTTCGAGCAGAGTGCTGGCCCCCCTGAGCAACCTGCGCTGGAAATGTAGGGCACCTGGGCTTTCACCCCCCTCTCTCACTCTCTGTGGCCCACTTCACCCACCCTTCACTTTTTGTATAAGGTTGCTAATTTATTTTACAGAAGCCTTGTATTTTTTTAATTTGTTGATCCACATTGCTAACATGAATTTTTTTTAATTTAAAAAGCCAACTGCCCTGTTTTTTTTCCTCCTTTTTTAAATCTTTATCACTGGTGTATAGAATTCTTGTACATAGATTTAAAGAAAAAAATGTACATGTTTGGGGCAGTGTGTTTCTCTTCACTGTTGTATTTATAATCGTTGCGGAGCCTGCAGGGCAGCTGGGATAGGTCTCTTCAGCTTTGGCAGCCAAACTTTAAGGCGAAACACCTGAGTTTCTGTCGTTAATCAATTAGGGTTTTTTCTTTTTTTAAACTTGAATTATGTTAGAAGAAAAATTTGATTTAATCTCATTTTGCTGTTTGCTACTGCTAAGGCGCAAAGTACTTTTGTTAACTTTTTTATGGTATTGAACTTTAAGGAAAAGTGTCAATTTAATTTACAATTACTCCGTTTAAATCCTAGAGAAAGGGGTTGGTGTGATGCATTTCCTGTGTCTCTTTCTCTTTTTTTGCTAACATACAGCAGAATTTTGATTATTTAGCATGGGAGGAAAGTTTAAAAATAAGTTTTTGGTCTTGCTTCTATAAATATATAGTGTATACTTGGTGTAGACTTTTGCATATATATATAAAAAATTTGTAGTTTTTTCTGGTTTTGATGTTCAATCTGTAACTATAATGTACCCTAGTAGTGAACACATACTTTTGATTGTATAATTGTACATTTGTAAACCTTCTGTAATGTAAATGTGGAAATCTTGGAATCAACTATACAACCCTTTTTGGTATAAAGAAAAATACAAAAAAATTAGAAACCTGTGCATTTCAGTGTATATTCACACTTTTTTTGGTTGTGGCATATAGTTGTTGTATATTGTAAATTGTAATATCTATCAAATATTTTGTTTTGAAAAGCCCTTTATATACAGCATAGTACTTGTAAAAAGAAACAAAATGCTTCATGATTTTAACATGTCACTACTTAATTTAAACTAAAAGAAAATTCCAGATTTAAAAGAAATCATTCTTCTGTTAAAAGTAGTGACCTTTTTTTTAGACCTTTTAAAAATGTAATGGTTTTCCTTTTGTCACATTTAATGAAAAAAGGTGGATTTAATACCAAACCCTTTAGGTTACGCTTCTTACATCATTCTGTGGGTTGAAATCTTTTCCCCTTTTTGTACAGAAAATACCCGTATTTTGCATTTTTTTGTCTACTTGTAAGTGATTGTAACATACTGTCGATTTTTCTTTCCTTGTTGAAATACAGAATTGTAACACTACGCGGTGTACATTTATGAAAGCCTTGTGTATATTTCCAATGAACTTTTTGCAAGCACACTTGTAACCATATGTGTATAGTTAACAAAATCCTGTGTATGCTTATGCCTGGGCAACTATTTTTTGTAACTCTTGTTGTAGATTGTCTCTAAACAATGTGTGATCTTTATTTTGAAACAAAAAAACCCTAAAATTTCACATTTTTGTCAAGAGTCTGTGTGTATTTCTTGAAGTATTCACAAGCATTACCTCCAAGAAACATTTCTGATTTTATTAACTTTTTTCTATTAAGTGTGATGGATATTTTAAGACAATAAGGTTCGCTCCATCATGCTTACATAATGATTGGTGTGTGTGTGTTCAGCTGAAACATCCTGTCCAATGGCACCTTGAAAAACTCCGGTATTAGCTTTCAACAGAGTGGCTGGGGATTGAATTCAGGCTGTATAACTGAAGTGCCTCCTTTTTCCATTTCCAAATAACCCGATCTTAAGTTCCACTGGTATCCTTAGTTAACTCTTGATTCTGAAGTAATGGCTACGATTGATGGTTACACTTTTCAAAACCTTAAGTGTCTGAATCAAATCCTGTTGTGGGCTGTCCAAGGCTAAGGAACCTCAGTTTGTGTAACCAGCCTGCCCTTTGAAGAAATAGTCTAATTTGAGCTTATTCCAGGGACAGGGTGTTTTTTTCTGGAATCTGTTAACCAGAGCTCAGAACCCCACATGTGGCGCATGTGCTTGCAGTCATTTTTCACTTAACCAGTTAGGTGTGGTGCTCTCGACGACAGCATTGTGAGCTCATAGTACTCGGTATTCTCTGAGTTTGCCACTCCGAGTCAAGCCAAGGATCTTGTGGTTGGCTTGAAGAGCTCCCTGCCATGTTTACACGCTTGAGGGACTGGAGATCACAGATGGTCAATGAAACCAACAGTACTGAACCAGCACTCTCAGAAAACTTTCCAAAGCTTATCCCCCAAAGTTAATTTTTTTAATGATTTAAACTGGTTTCACATGCCCCAGTTAGGACTATTCTTAGACTGCCTTACCTAATTTCATATTACATTTTGAGAGTCAGGGGCTTCAAAGTGGTTCAAGTGCTGTACACTCCAGACTCTTGTTCTGTGATCCAGATATTGTGTCCGAGCCCAGTGGCAGTAATAAACAGTGTGGTTTTTCCCAGATATTGAAGAAGAATTAGCTTCAGTGTTGCAGGCGCAAGAGTTGTTTGGACCAGTTGGCAAAGTGGCTCTCAACTGCCAGTGGAAAGGTAACCCTGCTGTTTCCTGGGTGCCTGTAGGATTTCTTCAGATATCACTAAGAGGGCTTGCCTCCCCTCCAGTCAGCATAACATCTTGTACAGCTTTGTAGCAGGTCAAAAGCTGAATAGACAGCTAGGGTGTCTAGAGGAGCTGTACTCTTAAGATCTAACCCCTCAGTTTTGGTCTTGGTCATCCTATTGTCTTGATTTTCTTTTGTTCACTGGTTTCTTTTAGGGTGGACTCTTAATTGGACAATGAGGTCCTAAACTTAATTTCATTTGCTCTTTCTGTGGGAACCAGTTCCCATGAGTACTGTTCATGTCGAGTGCCTTTTTACACAAAGATAAAACACTGCCAGAAATTTGGTTTCCGTATTGTCTAACCAGTTTTACAATGCGCTGTTGTGTGGGCACAGTATGTGAATGGCTGGCCAAGTTTTCCTTTGAGAAATGAATTCTCTTGTGCTAGATAATTTCTCAAAAGTCTGCTTTTGCCACCTCTACAGCTTAAACCAAATCCGGTTCTTTCTTATTAGTTGTCACTTTTGAGTACTGAAAGTGCTCAGGAAAAAATCTTCCGATTTTGCGATTTATCAGAGTCCTCCGCAAGAGGGCAGTGCTGTCATATCTTGAAAGTTGCTTTGTACTCTGGTGTGAAAAGGGAATATTTTGAGATATTTTAAAAAAGGTCCAGATATCACATTTTAATAAGACTGCATCTCTGATCTCTTGGTAGTTATTCTGATCCTTTTAATTGTGGCCATACAAATGTTCCATAGGTGTGTTGCAGAGAAGGTGTTTTTTCTCGTTTTTGCAGACCTGCTTATCGATGCGCGTCCGATCAAGTGAGAAGTGGTTGCTCTCCAGCTGGTCCCTTGGTTTGCATACTGGGGGGTCTTGTGCTGTCACAGGAGTAATAGGTTTGCTTGTTTGCACCACAAGAGGTAGACAGTTTAGACCAGAGGTCTCGAACCCTGATCCTGGAGAGTTCTTATCCTTTTTCTTGTAGGTCACCTATTTCTAGACATTGGCAACACCTGTACAATACTGAATAATTAAGCAAAGGATCTTTTCAAATCTGGAGATGGAAGGTTACTCAGATTGTGCTTCCAGAAGATCTCAGAAAAACTGAATTGAACAAGTTGCCTGCTTAATTGACCAATATAATTTAGTTGTGAGCTGCAGGGGGATATAGCTGGTGGCTAATATGATGATAAGACTAATTGATGTCTTCAGTTGTGTTCAGCTTCTGAACCAGTTGAAGATTTTACATTTTAAAATTAAATATGAATCACATTATTGAGTTGTAATCAAACTTAACACTATATCAGATACCTCAAACATTTTTTGTGAATATACACTCCACAGACGTCTCTGGAGTTGCAACCATAATTCTTGGCACCTTAATGTCTACTTTCTAAGAGGAATAAGTATGCAATTAACTAAAACTGTATTATAACTATTACATTCAATAGTTAGCAAATAAACCTGTTTCAGACACTGTCAATATTTAATACTTCATTCATATTTATCATTTATTTATGTCATTTAGGTTGTTATTGGTCCACTACAGAAAAAAGTCCCCCCTACATTCTGCCAGGAATTATGTTTCCTGTATTTTGTTTCAAATAAGAAAACTTCACAAACCCACTGCAATTTATTTTCACAGTTCAGTTTCATCAGCAGCCCCCACACCCAGACACATGCAGGAGCAAAACAGCACTTCATAAACCACAGGAGAAAAGAAATTTGTAACTCTACCCCAAAAGCACAGAGACGCAAAGCTAATCATGATGAAGAGGAGTTTGACCGAAACACTTTAAGAGCATATCAAAGTACAAGGCAGCTTACCAAGAAGGCTCAGTAATTGCACATTATTAATTAAAGGGTGGTGTGAGCTATTAATATGAGCATGAAAATGGAAAAGAAAAAAAGAGAATAGGAGACGTTGTCAAATAAATTAGCATGACTATATAATCTATTTCCTAATACAACAGCATAAGACATTCTCTTTGTTTAGATATCAAACTCCTACTGCAAGAACACATGTTTTGATGGGCTGCTCGTTACTGGCCTTGTCTAAAAAATGCTAAGCATGACTTTTCTAGCTTTTAAAAATAGTTTGTCCGCACAAATCCATCAGTTATCGAAGAGCTGCTTATTCCTAGTAAAGGCTCGATTATGCAAATTCAGAACCTACCCCAAGAACTCAGGATACATAGGGGAATTATTGCAGGGAACACACACAGACACAGCACACATGGAGAAAATAAATACCCTGGTTAAACTAACCAACATGTCTTTGGAAGGTTGGAGAAAGATGGAAAGAGACACTTTGAAACTGAAATCTTGCCGTTTCATAATTTGTATTGTGCCAAATAAATCTTGAGCTCACATACAAATTACACAGGGAAAAATAAGAGCATGTTGGGATTGGATTCAAGCTGGGAGACTGAGCACTTTTGGATGCTGTCATTGGCAGTGCCAAAGAGCTTTGTACAACTGAGACAACATTCCAGTTCATTTTTCTTTGTCAGCTGTCATTTGCCCTCATTTTGTGCTGCTTTGTGAGTTTGGGATTTTAATAACCATTTACCCAAAGTTTTCTGCACTCGGATCCCTGCAGTCTGGTCTCAGCTGGAGGAGAACTCTGGCAGAAACCCTGCAGTTCAGCCATTCTCTTGGGAACCTGGTGTCTTTCATAGTGGTTTCATTTTTTAGAGAAAAGCTCTGCAAACACAGAAGCAAGAGTGTCATTAATGAGCTCACAGGCTCTTCTATTAATCCCAGCTCCTCACTGTGATATTATACAGGGTCATGATTAAGACATGAGCAACAGGGCTGTGCTGCATCAAACTCTCCTAATGTGGACCAGTGAAGGTAGGATCTGAGCTCTTACTCTGGCTATTTAATATCTTATTGGTTGCATATACTGCTGTGCATTGAATCCGTAATTCTTCATTCGTTTTTGAGGTATTAATGCTCTCCAAGTTTGGTTGGGCAGGCCGAGTACTTCCAACAGCCCAGAAGTGATGATAGCACGGAATAAACCTCTCTGCACAAAATTCCCATTATTCACTTGCTTGTTTCCGTGAAAGCAAGAAAGGTAAATGTTACATTTGTTTAGATACGTTTTACTCTTAAAGATTAAAATAGGAAAATCTACTTTACTGAATGCCATACCTGTCAGTCCTAAAGTACACAGGCACCACTGCATAGGCATGTTATCCATGTGCTTATCATTGGATAAGGTGTACCTGTACTTTATATACTGTATAGAAACACAGTGTGGATGAAGCCCATAGTCCATAACAGTCCATGAAGACCACTTCTGTGCAATTTTTGCAAGTATTTTTTTCCAATTAGCAACTGGTTAAAACCCAAAGAAAGTTTGATTTAATTTTTATTCAAACACTTTTGAATATCAAAGATGGGTCAGGTGACATGTAAATCAGAGGACACTCATGTACTTGGGAACTTGATTTATCCTTGATTCATAACGTTCCCGGTACAGTGACACTACTGTCACTGCTGTCCAAATACCTCAGGGCTACCAAACCTAGATTCCCTTTAAATCGGATGTCTTTTCTGCAACGTACATGTGGTAAATTAGCATGCATGAGCAGCACGTGATTGCGTAAAACATTCCCAGAATACAGTACGTTCACAGAAGGGAAGCTAGACTGACTTAAGAAAAGAAAAGATTCATAAAACTAAAAGACTCATAGATCTAAATCTCTCGGCTTAAGTCGCTGGTGTTTGAGAGGGGATCTGTTTGAAGTCTTCAGGTTATGAAATGGAATAAAATTCAAGACTGGAATTTACTTCAAAGTTCGTTCTTCAGATAGGACATAGGTCAACTCACCAAAGGCAGCTGGGGATGAGCAATGGGAATCACTTCATTACTCAAAGGAGATAGTAATGTTAGATAAAGTTTTCCTGCCACATTTGTGAAGTCTTTGCACTGCAGACATGAAAGAGTTCTGATAGACTAAAAGGCCAACAGAATATTTAGGTACATATTATGGAATATATGAATATTAATCAGCTCTGACTGTTTTACAATGCCAGAAACCAGAACCATCTAAAAATATTATTATTCTGCTTTGGATATATGTTGTCAAATTTAGCTGTTATGAACAGTTTTTTGTCATCGACAAAAGTGATGGCAAGAAGAATTATTATGCTATACAGGCAGTATAGATTAGAGCAACTACTAATTTCTGGTCTGAAAGGACTATCATACTGAGACAACTCCACAGAACCTAATCTTTTAATAATCTTGAAGTTTTTCATAAGGTCAGTAAAGTTAAATAGTAACCCTTTAACTATCTCTGCCCTTATAGTGGCTCCTGACATCATTTTGTTCCGTTGATGTGCAAAACCATTAATGGCATGGAACCCTTACAGGGAAAATGGGAGAAATGGACCAGAAGGTATCCAATAAACCACTTCTTTTCTAGAGATCCTGTGCCAAATGAGTTTCTAACAGCTTTATCCAAAACTGGGTCTGGGGGGAGCCAGAGCCTATCTCAGCAGGCAACAGGTACGAGGCAGGATACACCGGGGATGGGATGCCAGTCCGTAGCAAGGCACACAGAGACCCATTCACAGCAGGGTCACCTTTCCCAGAAGCCAATTAACCTACCAGTATGTCTTTGGACTGTGGGAAAAAATCAGAGCACCCAGTAGAAACCCATGCAAACACAGAGAGAACATACAAACTCCACTCGGATAGCACCCCAGGGTGCGAGGCGAGTCAGAAATGCTGACCACTGTACCACAATGCTACCCCTTATAGGCCAGTGAATGTTTGATTTCATGGAGCCATTGCAGACTTCCCTGGAATAAAAGCCAGGAGACCCTAAAGAGGGGGTCATTACATGAAAAACCTTCTCTTTGACCATCCCATCTCAGAGCGTGGTTATCTTAATCTTCAGCACTGTGCTCTCGGCATCCCAGTCGATTCACTTTCCAATTCTTAGTTTAAACATTTGTTTGAAACCACAGCCTGTCATCAGTCCCAATGGACTATCATCAGTACATAAGTTGGCCGTGAAAAGATCGTGACTTGAGCGTGGCACTTATCAGACAGCGTTAAGATGTGTATTCATGGGTCTGATCAGCAGGGCTCTGGTTTAGACTGCACTGTGCTCTAAACCAATTACGTCAGCTGTGCCACTGCCTGTCGTCAACAGGTGACAGTGCACAGTGTTGCCTGCAGCTAAGGCTGCTGTCAGCTCCTAATTAAAGACAAGACACCTGCCCCTTCCCCTAAGGAGCTGAGCCAGGGGACCAATCTTAAGAGACAGGTGGACAGAACATGCTTTTATCTCTGTGTGTGTGTGCGCATATATTACTATCAATGCAGTGAGAACACTGGAGGAAATATCTCCATAAAGACAGCAGCTCCTGAAATATAAATGAAACAGCTCATTCTGGCAATACTTACCTTTTCCTTGCTTTTTTTAGTTTTTCTCAGCTTCTCAACTGTTTCTACTCAATGTCAAGTTTTCTAGTCAGAGGTACTGACAAACAGAACTCAAACCAGACAACCAATGACAGATGCACATTTAGAGCAGAGAATATGTAATATTAGTGGGAACATGGAACAAAACATGTACAGGTTATGTACAAATATGTTGATGAAGATCTTGGATTGAAGAGTCTATCTTCCAAAACTCCCTAATCTTAGTCAGTCTGACCAACACAACACTTAAAACACAAAACTCATAGACAGGGAGAGAAGCTTGGGGTCAGAGCGCAGGGTCAGCCATTTAAACAGCACCCCTGGAGCAGCTGGGGTTAAGTGCCTTGCTCAGGAGCCCAACAGAGTAGGATTCCTCTGCCAGCCATGGGATACAAACCAGCACTCTTCCAGTCACAGGCACAGATCCTTAGCCACAGAGCCACCACACCACACTGCATGAGCTTTATTTGAAAAACAAATCAATATAGACTTGTGCTAAGTTGAATTCTTGGACCAGAGCAGACAGAGCTTTGTCTCGAGGCGCAAACACAAATTGTATAATCACATAATAATCACTGCAATCTCGTACAAGACAGGAGATAAAAATACAAATAGGGATTTAATGTTCTTTTAAATGGATAGCAGTGTTTAATCATTTTGATGAGGACTTCAACGGGACCTCCTTGTTTCTATAGTATGATGTCACCTCATAAAGATGTTTCTTTTCCAGCTGCTGGGAATACAGAAAGGTGAACTATGAAGAAACCATGGAGCCCCTCCTGCTCATTCTGGTTGCTTAGGAACATATTGATGACATCATCCAGCTAGTTCAAGAGTGTTCTTTACTAACATGGCAGGACAGCTAGTCTTTATGGAAGAAATGTCTCCTGGTTCTTCTATTAAATGTCTCACCACTTTCCTCTGGTGAGAAGATGAGATATTTGTGAAATTAAGTTTTGTATAATGAAATGCAGGTACAAAGTCCACTAAAGCTCCCTACAGCATCAAGAGGCCACTTATATAGAACAATTGGAATCTATGGAATTTGCATTACTCAGAATTAAATTGTTTATCAGATGTGGCATTAACCCAAATGTTTGTATCATACTAAACACATCTATTTATTTTGATAAGTTAGATAAATAGTTGAGGTCTGGGTGGTGCCACTCGCAGGCTGGTTATGGTTGGAAACCAGAAAATGATTAATGAAAAAATACTCTTTCCTTATCACTGCACAGGCAGAAATATGCTTAGAGGCAATGACTTTTCTAAATAATACAATCTTTTAATAGAGTATTTTAATTGTAGAGCTTATTAAAATTGCAGATACTGTTTAATTCTTAGTGTCTACAGCAATTAGTCAGCACAGTGTTCATACTGAATATTAATATACAATCTATTGTATTTACATCATGTTTAGGCAACCCATTTAAATATTTAAAATATTCTTCCCTTGTAATAAATATTTAAAAAATAGTGAGATTTTGTGCTCAAGCAATTATTCAGGGAGTCTGAAAATAATAAATCTGGCAATCAAAATAAATTCACTGGAGTTTTTTTGTTAGCTGTAACAATGCAAATTAAAATATAAGATATCGCAAGAGTATGTTTCCAGAACACTGCCACATTTTAATTGTGAGCTGTGTGCATTACTGTGTTACTTCCCCACTATGAGCTGACTGGTTTTGTTGGCTCTCATTCCCAGCTACTGGTTCTAGTTATGGGATCATGTTCACACACACTGAGTGGACCATTATCCTCAGCTTTTACTGTTTTCACCTTGTGACTGGATTGGGAGAGGGTACAGGAAATGGAATTCCTGAAAATCTTGTCCACTCTGCCCAACCCTAACAGCACTCATCCAGCTGTGCTCACCATATGGAGAATCCCGGTCACAGCTGGCTAATGGCAAGCCCAAACCTTGGTAATGTCTGGGCTACAGGGCTCAACTGGCATGCTGAAGAAATAGACATATGTGGAGAGCCACATGGAAGTCGCCAACTAGCATTTACTTTCAGCCTCCTGGTAACATACAGCTCACAAGATGGTGTGCCCCTCCAGTGAAGCCTACACCAAAGAGAGGCAGGAACAAAGCCGAGAGTAAACCAAAGGATTCTGCACTCACACAACAAAAGGTACTGAATAACGGTAATACCTCAGGTTAGTGGTTGTAGATGTCATGCATAGATGTTTTAGAAATACATTATATAAATAAAGCAGCCTGTGTGGAGTTTGTATGTTCTTCCTGTGTTCCCTGAGTTTCCATAGGTTTTCTCCTGGTGCCTTAGTTTCCTGCCATAGTCCAAAGATATGCTGGCATGTTAATTGGCTTCTAGGAAAACTGGCCATGGTGTGAGTGTGTGTGTGTCTGTGTGTGCCCTGCGATGGACTGGTGTCCCATCCAGGGTGTATCCTGCCTTGTGCAGGCATGTCCCTTGCCTGGACAAGCTGCGATTCTTTTGCGATCCTGTATTGGATAAAGAGATTAAGAAGATGAATGGAATTAATGAATCAATCTACATCTCATAATATTAATACACTTCTGATACTCTGGAATGATTAAAATAGACATGTCGGAATTTGGCAGTTACTTTAAAACCTAAACCTTGGTCATGATAACATTTACAGAGAGCTATCTATCTGCGGAGCTGGAGTTCATGACAGAATGTCCTAAAGAATTATTTTCAAAACAAAACTGTCCTTCAGTTTGTAGCTCCTGCAGCACTAAATTAATGGCGCATGTAAGTATAAGCTAATGGAAATCATGAGTCAATACTATACGGTATGCAAAAAGTGCTCTTTTGTATAATACATCCCTGTGGGTTATAACTGAAAACCAACCAATAAACCAACCAATAAAAGCAGAAAATGATGAAGATGTGGATTCTAACCTCAGGTTGTAGTCTGGAAAAATCTGCAAAGAATTTCCAAGCAATTTCTTTGGACAAGGCTGTCTGGCCAAAGCTGTTTTAATTCAGCTTTTCAAATTTGTGTTATTAAATTATGAGGACTCTATAGGCTTAATGTGAATGACTGAAACTCAATTCAGATTGATTTAATTTACATTGTGAAGCAAATCCTGCGTGGGTTCATGGATAAAATACTTGAATTTGTAGATACTTTGAAAATGGCTAATGTATCAAAGGGTGTTAGCATTATGAAGTTTAATTTTGAAGCTTGATGGCTGGATTATGCTGCTATGTTAAAGTGCTAATACTTCTAATTGAAACATTTCAGACAGAACTATGTTACCATGGAACTAAAAATTAATTCCAACAAAAGACTCACATTTTGATTTAACATTTTTGTTCAGAATTCAGATATAAAACGGCATTTTTACTAGGAGGTTTTTCCAGTAGCGTTGCAGTTTCTATGCTTGACACTATGTTTGAGTGGGGAGTTGTGTGGGCATGAGCAGGGTGCAAAGGAACAGGTAAAGGTTCACTCCATGCTGAAAGAAAAAGAAATGTGTAACACCTGAAGAAGGCTCCACCGAAATGTAGAGTTTCTCTTCTTTTAGGATGGAATGAACTTGTAGTTCTATTGTAGTGTCTATACAGATGTGCTCTACACAGACAGACAAGTCACAGGAGGAAATACTGTTCAAAGACGCTTCTAATTCATTTATAACTGAGATTAGGAGGCATTTATTTACACAAAGGGTGGTGGTTGAATGGAACAGGCTACTCAGTCATGTTGTGGAAGATGATGCACAGGCTTTGTTCAAGAAAGATTGAGATCCTTAGACCAATTTGTTACTAATTACCAAATGGGTAGGGAGGAGTAAGGTTACATTTGTAACCTTTCTTATGTTATTACAGAACAGTTTAATTGCTTTATTGGGTTATGTCTAGAACAAGAATTCTGAGAAGACTAATTTAATCAAATACTGACTTCAAGGACAACAGAATAATTAGGATTATGTCTTTTGACCTAGAATGCAGATATATAAGAAGGCTGATCCAGATGTTGGAATGAAAATGTACTTGGTTCTTGTTTTTTTACTACTATGTTTTTATTATGATTTAAAGCTTTAAAACTCTTCAGACCAAATACAAAACAAAAGAGTAATACTTCCCTTGATACACAATCTTGCAGTTCCTCAAAGGATCCGGGCATCAACAACATGCCTCATTCCAGAGCCCCTGGTTCTGTAAAAAACACCCTCCACATTTTAGCCTTAAACAAAAAAAAATTCTGAATGAACATTCTGAATGGTGCTTGTTTGATCTTCTCTACAAATTTCAACTCAAAACTGGCGATTACAATACTGATAACAATTTCCTCTTTTGGCTTCTGTTGTCAGAAAACGGTGTCCGAAGGGACCCTTGTTTCTAAAGCTCTGAAACTGTGAATTGACACAATCAGCAGAATGGAAATGTGCTAATAAGCGTTGCTCTCTCATCACTAACAATACATCCCGTTAGATTTCCCCCCCCCCCAGTGATTACGAACACTACACACATATCCGCTGAGTTACATAGCAAACAGAGGATGAAGGGTTATCTGCTTCGTATTCGTACATGTCGAGACACTGGCTACGGCGCTACGCTCAGTACTACGATCCTGAGCTGGAACTATGAAAAGAACAGCTCACCCCGCAGGCGGGACGTGCTGGTCACGCCGGACCCAGTTGCCAGTCCCGACAAACGGTGCTGCAGGGGGCGCGCTCTCCTCTATCCGCGGAAACCGGCGGTGCACCACGACTCGCTCTCCGTCGGTTTGGTGATGGAGGCGGATCAACATTTCCTGCACACGCACTAGCAAAGCGAGTTTAGGCGAGCTGAGGGAGAGAGAGGGCGAGAAAGAGAGAGAGAGAAGGAGAGGGGTTTACATTCTCACACGCCAGCAGTCCCTCTGATAAAAACACACTCGGGAGGGGAAAAAAATAAAAGTGGAGAAACCAGGATAGCGCGCATAGCTGATTTCTCCTCTAGCACTACAGGCGTCCTGGGCACTGGGTAGGAAGAAAGGACAAGTGGGGGATTTGAATCGGATCTCCGCTTCTGAAGCGTGTGTTTCATGCACATTTGCCCACCGAAGTAGGCAACTGAAGATAACATCTGTTTTTTTCACCGAAAGTGAGAAAATAACCCGGGTTGTAAGGTTCGTTTTCGCTCGCCGCTCCAAGTACCATGAAGCTGCCTTGTTTGATAGCGCTGGGCTCCATCCTGTTACTACTAGGCGACACCGCAACGGTAAGTGACAATTGTCCGGCGGTTTTCCTCGTGTGCCTTTTTTTTTCTTGTTAAATGCAGTCTTCTGCAGATGTTTGTTTGCTTTTGACGTATGTATCCCTACCTCTTTTGATCTATTCGGTGGAAAGGGTCCTCTTTTGTGGAAACCGCGGTGTGTAATTGCAGCTTCTTTAAGCGCAATTAAAGCAGCGCAGCCCGTAGTAATTCCGCTGGAAGTGACCCATATTGGCCTCCAGTTTGACGATTTTTAACTATTGCCCCCATACACGCTTTTCGCTCTGAAAAGGATGCACAGAGAAGCTGTTTGGACTTTGGCATTACCTTAGAGTGGAGCACAAAGAGTCTCCTTTTAATATTGATTTCAGCGCTAATGCCGTGATTTAACAAGTGGCTTTGACGCTTTTTGTCGGAATTTGTCGGATTTTCGCATATCGAGAGAGTGTGTTAGGGGAGAACACTGCGGTAGTAAAGAACAGTTATCCCGGGGGAGAATACTCTAGTTTTGTCGGGGATTTCTTGGGAGTTGGGAATGCGAAATGGTACAGTGTGAAACTCGGATGTGGGAAGTGTGTGTGTTTAAGGCTTAATGTGGTGATGGAGCAAAGACTTTAAAGCAATTAACGCGTCGTCCCGATTTTTAAAAATGTATATCTAGAGACTCCATGTGTTGGACTCGGTGCCTTTAGTCTATAGTACGGGTATATTGTCCACTGTACAGTAGCGGATTATTGTATCCGAAGGTCTGTGCTTTGCTTTCCAAAGACAGCATAGTGAACTACGTATGTGATGCTGCTCTGTTCGTCTAAGGCATTTCGGAGGTTCCGACTAGGTAGGGAGGAATGGGCAGAACCACTAACGCGGTCACTGCTCTGATCGGATTGCCGTTCTTGCTAAGCCCCTGTCAGCGCAGAAAGGTGCTATTCCCAGGCTGGTTTCCAGCTGCGTGTCCGCGGAGAGGCGCAGGGCTGATCCCGGGGGTCTGAATCAGGGAACGGGACTGGCGCTCGGCTGCCGGCAGCGGGGCGGGAGGGGGTGAGAGGGGGGTGATGTCATTGTCGAACGCGTGCAGAATCGGCTTGAGGTAGGAATAGAGTCGCCGGAGGTCTTTCAACAGCAGGAGGTCTCTCTAGCGGGCAATGTGACTTCCCCTCGTTTTTTTTTATCACTCCCCCTCGTTTTTCGAGTCCATGCTGCCAGAGAACACACATGCTTATTGCGTTTTCGCATTCGTATTTATACATCTTATTGACAAAGCCTACAAAACAAAAAAATATATCTATAAAACCCATCGTCGGCGGTTTTTTTTTGTGTATAACAGTTTTACAGCCTGTGTAGAATTAAGTTCAAACAGGTTTTTCAGAAACTTGCAGATCAGCCTGTAACAGCTAGGTTCTCTGCAAGAAATACACTTCTCTTTTTCTTAACTCCTTGCCTCTCTCCCACACATACAGCAGGTGTAACTGCCATTCAAAAAAGATGGGCTGATTTGTCATGTTTTAGAAGTCGGGGAAAATTTAGGCAGCCCAGCCTCAATTTAAAGGTGCACTGGATCTTATTAGTAATTGGAAAGAACTTCAGCACAGGCCTTTCCTGGCGTCTTTATTGAAAGGCAACTCTGACGAAATTTAAATGTGACTAAATGGAACCGATTTCCCTTTCGTTACCTGTTTCGCTCTGCGTTTCAGAAGCTGCTCTTTCGAATTGCAGATGTGGATTTTCTTACATTTAAACTGCGCCACTGGACAAGAAATCAGTTTAAAAATTGGGGACTGCCTCTCTTTGATGTGGTGGCTCACCAAAGAAAAGCTGAAATAATTGTGCTGTTCAAAGGACGCTTGCATGACACCTAATCCCAACTAGACTGATTGAAGTGTCTGATAGTTTGATTTACATTCAGTCCGTGTCTTTTTCACAAGGATCAAGGCATAGATGAAGAGGATGGAGGAACGGCTTATTGAGTTGACTTTGGCTGTTTTGTCATGTATGATGCCTGTCAAGACAAAGTGGAGTCATTAATTTATTATTGCCGGGTGACATGCCTGGTATGTGATGAATGCAGATCTTTAATTGGGTAGATCGCTGTATTGGGAAATGAGGGACATATACTGTATGTACGTCCCTCCATCTTATGGGTATTCTCGCAAAAGAGATGGGATGAGGTTGATTTTAAAAACAAGGTATAAAGGATATTGCTTTTATGCGATTATATCGTATCTGGTAAGAGTTGGTGTGTGCAGTTGCAGTGCCAGCATCGTAACTGCTGTATGTACCGAAGCATTTAACTGAAATCCAAGTATTGCAGTTGTTGCATTTGGTGTCAGCTGTTGTGTCTGATTGACCAGTATCATTTCCCATGAAAGGACTGAGAAATCTGCTTCTGTAAAAGGGAGGTTCTGATTCAGTGAACGTTTCTTTACCAAGGACAGTGACATCACCTTTAAAAGCATGTTATACCAGCTCACAGTGTATATTATCATCAGGACGTATACAAAGCCTGTAATCATTTTACTTTTGATGTTTTCCAAGAAATCAACTTTACCAACTAAATCAGCGTTGTGAAAGATTTAATAATAGCATAGTGCTATGTGTGGGGCTGTGGATTACAGTTCAGCGATGCAAATAAATGGCTACAATAATTAAACTAACTTCATTAGGTTCAGTCATGCAGACAACACAAATACTAGATTGGGGATTGCACAGATTAATACATACATTGTACATTATTACTATTGTGTGTTTTCTCTAACATCCTTTATGTCTGTCTAGTAGATGAGCTCCATTAAATAATTATTCATTTGGGGTTTTTCAGTTTAGTGGAGGTTAAACAAAAAATGAAAAGGGCCAGTTGTCTGATTTTGCCTGTTACAAAGTCAAAAGGAAATTAATTACATTTTGGTTGTGCATTTCAAAGAAAAAAAAATTAAACCTGAAAACATGGGCAGGCATGTAGAATTCATTTTCTCTTTCTCCGCAGGTGTACCAATTTCTTAATTTCTTCCTGCTGAGTGCCAATCAGCCAATGCAGAATCTGTTGTTCCACTTAAAGTGGTGATCCCCTCACTCTGTCACATTCTCAGAAAAGCCCATCTGAATACCAGCCCCCTTGTCTCTCTGCCCCTACACACACATTGCTTCATTAGGACCTGTATGACTTAATGTTCACTTTATTGGGGTTAGGTTTTCCATTTAATTGAGCAGCAGAGTAGAGCAATGGGTAGGGCTCTGAGCTCTTGATTGGAAGCTTGTGGGTTCAAATCCCAAGTAGAAGGCTGTTGTTGTACCTTCGACCAAGGCATTGCTTATCTTATTGCTTACTGTAACTGAGTTTGTTCTTCGGTACCTTAGCTTGTGAAATAGATGATTAAAAATGGAATTGTGGCATAGAGTCGTAATCCTGTGATTTTGTGCTCATGGTGGATGTGAAACTTGAGTGTCTTTGAGTGGCTCATATCCTGTCAAAGTCTGTGTGAAGGAAATGCTGTTTACTGATGATGATACTGGCGGAGCAGTTTCTCTATAGTTTGTTTGAACGGATGTTACTCTGCACTGTATGAATTACACCCCCTGTCTGGTTTCATGGGATCTAATGTAATAACCCAACACTGAGAATCTCTTCAAAGTCATGTTCAGTGGTGCATTGAACAGCTTCCGATAACGCATGGAGTATGTATGTTCGTTTGTTGCTAGGAGACCAGTGGAGCCATGGGCTCCATGTAGATGAGTTCGCCACTTGGTGTGAACAAAACTTTTTGAAGACCAAAGACATGGTAACTGATTTCAGGAAGAACTCTCAGACCTGCATCAGGGGTGGTACAGTGGATACATGTAAGTACAGTATATGGGCAGTGTTGTTGACTGCAAATTAATAGAGGCAAACATGAGTCTATTTTCAAGGGAACAGCATCTATTTCTATTAAGGAAGCTTATACATTTTAAGGTTGATAATTCATTGATTTATCAACAAGGATATCAGAGAGTCACCTTCTCTAAACCTTCTTCTTCAGAAAAGCCTTTACTTAACTGGTTCCATTCTTCACCCCTCTGCTCTTTTTAGTACCACCTTCCACGGTCTCCTCTATTGTTATTGTTGTAATTGTATTTGTGTCTTTTCTTGTGAAATCTTCTTATTTATTGTTGTAGTCTTCTTATTTATTGTTATTGTCATCCTGTAAAGCACTTTGAGAAGCCACCTTTAAAGGCGCTATATAAAATAAAGTTTACTATTATATTATTATTATTGTTGATCATGTTTTGTCAGTCTTGTATTTTAATGTGCTTTTACCCTGATTTACTGGTCTGGGAATCCTAATCTGAGAAGTAGCAACAAACTGGGTTGTATTATTATACCCTGTCAGAAAGTCATTGGTGCTGATCTTTTGGCCCAATCCTATGTCTCATTTACGAGTTTTGCATGAAGCATGGTCCAATTTAGAGGACAATTCACTCTCTTTGTTTAACGAATTCCAGTTACAGATACAGATTTCCCAATTTAATAACAAAAAGGTTAAAGTTCTAATTCATACTTGCTGTTATAACCTTACTTAATAAATGGTTATTTTAATGCATGTACTGTATATGTGTATTATTTGTGATTTTTCTTTATATTGTTTGCTGCTGTAAAACAAATTGCCCTTTGGAGAAAGCCAAGTCTCCGATTTCCTGTTTCTGTTGATCTTCCTCTAGGAATTTCAAAATCGCACATTTTCAGCATAACTGTGGCAACATACTGTAGATCCACCCTGAAATGCCACTGTTATCATTCAGATGGAACCCATTCATACCAGACCTCCACTTCAATATTTTCCATCAGTCAAAAATGACAGCTGATCTTCAATAATGTAACTAAAGGCAAACTTGCATCCCTTGCCCTACACTGAGAAAATGGCATTTAACTGCCAGACATCACATCAGCCTGTCCTTTACAATATCAAGGTCAGAAAATAAAGGTTAAGCGATATATCATTAGATATTCATGTCTAGTCTGGCACTAGGGAACCACA